ATGAACCCCAGCGGGGTCTCCCTGCCGGACCGCACGCTAGTAGCCGGAGCCCTCCGCGGAGCGGTAGGGGACCGCGACCTTTGGCGGGGCTCGGGGCGCCAGGAAGGGTGCGCAGGCGCCAAGGGGTTGGACCCAGGTGCACACTCGGCACCCGACGTCCTGGACTCTCTCCCACTCTCTCCTCCGCCTTCTCCCCAGATGCCCATCTCCTCCGAACCCCTCGCTGCCTCTTCTGCCAAGCGCCTGCAACTCAGGGGGTCAGGAGTGCCCTCAGTGGGGTAGCTGCGCCTTCTCCAGGGCGATCCCTGGCCGAAGTAAACCTGGAGGAGGGACCGAAATTGAAGACTGGAAGCCCTGGAGGAGAACCGTTGACCGACGAGCACCAGCTGGTCTCCTCCTCTGAGAACAGTGCGTAGCCTCTCTGGATTTGCCTGATGGAGACCACAGCCCGCCTGGGAAGAGTGCAGTGCAGACCTTCTGGGTTCGACTCTTCAAACTTCAACCGGAGGTTGTGCCTCCTGAACCCATACACCCCTGGGGCCACGAGTGGCACCCTGCTCCCTCCCGGATCCGTCCGGGTTTCCTAGCCCTGGGTATCAGTCGTTTCTTGATCGAAGGTGCACGTGGGTGTTGGTGTGGTAAGCGATGCTCAACGAATGCCCAGAAATTACTCACACAGAGCGGCTTGTGATTAGGCAGAGACTCATCTCTGGCTTGAGATGCCTACTGCACTACCAGCGATCTCGCCGCTGGGCAAGTGAGCGGTCTAGCGGTCCCTCATCTCAATTCGGAGTCGGTTTCGGTCGCCGGGTGTGCCCTGCCTTGCAAGGTTATGGGACCCCTTAGTGGCTCCGCAGGGTGGTGCTAATCCAAGATGTTCATTCCCACGCGCCCTCGAAGTCATGTTAGTTTCACCAGTGGCACTGTAAGAGAAGAGGTGGGGCGCAGACCCGATTTCCCCCTCTTACTCGAAAGTCTGACCATGAACCAGGCCGATTGCTAGGTGCAAGATGGGGACAAGCAAGTTCGGGACTGGTTGGGAACAGAAAAGGCCAGCACTCCGGGCACTCTCCAGGTTCTCTCCGGACGGTGCAAGTATCGGCGAGGAAGAGGTTCAGAGCTAGGAGCTGAACCAAACAATACCAGGTCTGTTCTGCTCTTAGAATTCGGGACCCAGCACCCGCGGCAGCGGCTGCGCGATAAATTGATCCTCAGAAGATCTGGGTGCAGACAGGAGCAATCAACCTCCAGAATGAGACGGGAATTGGGAGCCCTGTGGGACCGAGGACTTGGGACGCAGCGTGAGTGAGGAAGAGACTCTTTGGGGAGCGAGCGGGGTTTGAAGCCCGGTTGGCGCTCTGTCCCACAGACCGGGGCTGCCATCAAGTTCTAAGTTCACACTCTAACCCAGTACCTCCAGGAAGGTGAGCTGATCCACGTGCCTACGATTTCGTTTCGCCCTAGACTTGCGAAGCACCTGAGCATCACGAGGTCGTGCTGCTGCTGGTCGCTCTCAACAAAACCTCAAAACAAACCTATATTTATACCTAGACAATACATAGAAAATAAATTGTAATAGGTACTATGTTTTGCTGTGTTTTGTTTGAGAAAGGATCTCACGTAGGCCAAGACGTTCTTAAACTTCACAATTAACGGAGGATGACCTTGAACTGCGGCCGCCTCTGCCTTCAGGTCTGGGATTAAAGGTGTGTAACGTCGTGCTAGGTTTAAGCCGTACTGGGGACCGAAACCAGAGTTTCATTTATGCTAAGCAAGCACTCTGCCATCTGAGCCGTGCCCCTAACCCCTGTAACAGAAACTTTGTTACATATTAAAATAGGTGTATCTGCATACGACTACGTACGTAAATATGTATTCACATGTAAACAAATGTTTGTTTACAAGTACAGACGTCTAGTTAAATCTGAATTTTAGATAAGGGAGTTTTTTAGTCTAAGTATGTTCCACGTAACATCTGGGAACATATTTATATTGTGACTTATCTGAAGTCAAAATTCAGCCACGAGTTCCGCGGCTTGCACATAGATCCTTTATGGCGCAAAGGCGTTAGGTGCCTTTAAGGCACGAGCTCGGACTCCCCGCCCCACAATGCCGCGCGGCCGCTCGAGGTTCCCATTGGCTGAAGTTTGCTTCCGCCTCCGTACTTCCGGCCGCGGCCCGCGGCGGTTGCGGGCGGTACCTTAGGCGGCGCTGGCCACGGCTGGCCGCGACCATGAACTTTTCAGAATCATTCAAGCTATCGGGCCTGCTTTGCAAGTTCTCCCCGGACGGCAAGTACCTGGTGAGCCGCGGTGCGCGGGGCATTACCTGTGCGTGGGCGCACGACCTGTGCAGGGGGCCAGAGCGGGTCGAAGGGGGGCGGGAAGGGGGCCCGAGCGGGACGAGGGGGGCGGCCAGGGGGACTCGAGCCAGACGAAGCGGGGCACCAGGCTCAGAACTTTTGGTTCGGACGGGGAAGATCTAGGTAGATGGCCAGGGTGTGGAAAGAGGGCCTGAGCCAGGTCGGGCTAGGGGGATCTTGGCAGGGGACTGGGGTAGGGAAGGGGCTTGTGGAGCGGGTGGCCTGGGCAGGGCAGGGATGGAGTTGGGGGTAGGTCGATATTCTGGCAGGTGGTCATGGTAGGGAGGGGGACTTGGAACAGGTGGCGCGGGCTGGGCGGATGCCAGCCTCCGGGCTCCAGTTTCCCTTTATCCAAGTTGGGTAAGGCGATGCCAGCTCATTGTTATTTTGTCACAAACGCATAGTTTATGTTTTCTCGCGTGTAAGCTGGTTAAATGGCGCCCTCCTTTTGGTCCGCGCTACTTCTCCTCCTCCATCATATGTAGATGATTTCAGTTCCAATGTTGGATGTCAGCTGTCCATTCTATGGGTGGCAGAAGAGTGTTCAAAATACACCCGTATGACCATTGTGCACTCAGAAGGCAGACACTTGGCATTAGGAAGCCATCAGGAAAAAACTCGGCTTATAAAAACTATGGTTCTGGACCAGTGGGGTAGCTTCTGTAACGGTACCTGCGCTAAACCTGATGAGCTGAGTCCCATCGCTAGAATGGAAGGGCAGAATGACACCTGCAAGCTGTCTTAACCTCCACATAAGCCACAGCCAGTGCATGACCCTCCCCACATACAAATGTAACCATACTTTTTAATGAGCTTCCTTTTACGCATTTATCATCTTCTTTAACAAGGTTTCTCTGTGCAGCCGTGGCTGCCCAGAAACTGATTCTAGTGAGTTAGGTCTCTAGAGAGCTCCCTCTTCTCCCGAGTGCTGGGATTAAAGGCATGCACCAACACCGCCTGGCTATTTTGGTTCTTAATCCACACTCGTGCTGTATTTTATCCAGGCCTTTGAGACATTGTTTAACCGCCTTATGTGTCATTCTAAGAAAGTAGGGAGTGAGTGTCAGCATAGAAGTGGTATTAGAAGATAACGGTACTGCTGGGCAAGCCCGACACCTTGAGTTCCGGAACCATGGAAGGGTGGAAGGAAAGAACTCACACAGGCACGTGTGATGCATTTTACCTTTTCCCAAGTATCTTGGTAGATTAGGGTTGTTTTACTGAAAGTTCTTGTGAACAACAAGGAGGTTTCATTAGCTGATGTTTGTGTTTGGGATTGCCCACTCATCAAAATGTTGTGAAACTCTTGATAATTGTTTCTCGGAAGTCTTGCCGTACTGGGCAGGGCTGGCCCATGCTTCCTGCTTCAGTATCTTCGATGGTTCCTAAAGAATTCATTGGACCTGGTAACTTTGGAATTCACAGCTCACAGGGCTGTAATGTGAAAACCTAAGTCCTGTGCTAGGCCCTTGTTCTAACCTGCACTTGGCTTTCACATTCTCTTTTTTCCACAGAAGACGAATTAGGCTTCCTTTTCTCTTTTTTCAATCTGCCTGTGCACCACGTGCACGCGTGTCTGTGTTAGTGTGCAACTGTACATGGGTGCCACACACACAGAGGGCAGAGGGCAACCTGAAATATGATTGCTTGACTTCCACCTGTTGGATTCATGGTCTCTTATTCTCTGCTGCATACACTAGGCTAGCTGGCCCGCCCACAAGCCCGTCTCTGCCTCCCCCCTGACCACAGGAACACTGGCATTATAAACAAGTACACCCACTTTTATGTGACTTCTGGGAATCCAAACTTGTGTCTGAGGCAAGTGCAAGTTCTTTTAGACTATAGTATAATATGCAAAGCTGGCCTCAGACTTAGAAAGTAGCTGGCATCTCCCTAGAGCTGTAGTTACAGGTGTGTCCCATCGCACCCAAGCAAAAAATGTTTTTCTTTTTCTTTTTTTCTTTTTTTTTTCTTTTGTTTTTGGTGGTGGGGGTGGTTTAGGATAGAGTTTCCCTGTGTAGCTTTAGTTGTCCTGGGACTCATTCTATAGACCAGGGTTGCCTCAAACTAAGGAATTTGCCTGTCTCTGCCTCTCCAGTGCTGGGATTATAGGTGTGCACACCAATCTAATTTTTTTTAAAAAATAAATTTACTTGCACAAATCTGGGGTTCCAGTTGATAATTTGACAGATGTACCACTGTGTACAATGATGAAA